TTGCCATAATCGAGCAGCCCTAGTTTGGAAAGCATGTAAATAGTTTGATATCAGTTTGAGAAAGATTTTTTTTTTTGTTGTTGTTCGTCCATGATTGCCAAGACTTGAGAGAACATTTTTCGAAAGTCAAATGTGGTTGTCCATAATAATTATATGTGTGGTTTGAGAGAAATTGATAAAATCCTTTTTACGTTTGATTTTTTTTTCCCCTTAAATTTTATATTTATGCAGGGTTCAACATAAAAAGTGGCCGAATCTTTGGAGCCAGTAATCATTAGTTTTTAATGATTAGTTTTTATTACCGTCAGTATTTTCACAATGAAATGCCAATGGAAATCAAACCACCCATATGGATTGTTTAAATGTAACAAAAAACTGTTTTGTTTGTTTGGTTGTTATTGTTTTTTAACTGCTTCCATCTACTTTTTACACGGCAGCAGCTTAGTAATTTAAGTAGAAGCTAAAATGGAAAATGGAAACTGTCTGCTTGCAGTTAAACTGATCTTTGTCCATCCAACGGCTGGAGCCATGGACTGGTCGCCAATCTGGCGCAGACTTAAAACACTCAAACCAGAGACAACCATTCACAGTCACACTTATGGGCAATTTAGAATCATCAATTAACCTAACCCCTATAATGGCATGCCTTTGGACTGTTGGAGAAAGCTGGAGTACCCAGAGAGTACCCACGCAAACACGGGGAGAACGTGTGAACTCCACACCGAAAGGCCCCAGGCACGTGGTAGAATCGAACTCAGGACCTTCCTGGTGTGAAGCAGCACTGCTAAACACTACCTGATAGATCTCTAAATCTGTAAAAATTTCTTGTAAACTTGATGCAGGCTAACAGCTGCCTCTCTTTTAGAGCCTATGATGTATGATTTTCAAGACTGGTACAGATATTTAAAAATTTAATCGACCAATACTTTGTTGCTCAGTTAGATGAAGACAAAACAGATTCCCCTAACGTTTGTTATGTATATTTATTTTTAACTCCTTTACATGCATTTTACTTTACGTACTAACTGCAGTGGAAGTATCAGTCTGCTAATAAATGACATGTTATTTTTATGCGATAAGCTAACAGTACGTAAAGTAATTTTAATTGGCTTTATTTTGGGGGAATTTAAAGTGATCGACCTGCCCCAGTGGGGGGGTAACTGTTAACACTGTTATTGTTATGTAAGCTTTTGTAATTCATGTGGTATGACTGCAGCATGCCTTAGAGATGATCCCAAAAAACTGATCCATGAAGCTAGTTCGTGCATAAGAAGAAATTCTAAAGAAGGGTAAACCAAAAATAAGAAAAGGAGTAGGATTGTGTTAAGCGAATAAGATTAACTGCTGATCAAAATAATAGAGGTGGGAATCACCATACATCCCACGATACGATATTATCACAATACTTAACGCACGATACGATATTATTGCAATTTTTTAAAAATATTTTGCGATATTCAGATTCTGTACATAAAGGTAAACTTTATCAATATTCATTTTATCTAATATCAAAGTCTCGCACTCAGTCTTTCTCTCATTTCAGTCAGGTTTATTGTTGACAAACTTGAACGGTTTGTATTACAGTCTAGTCCAACTTAACTGAATGCAACCATCTGGTACAATTATAGCTATTCTGAACTATGCAATTTATGAAAACTATGCAGCCCCTTCAGCAACTGAAGAATTTGAAAGTAAATTAAAACAAAATATAATTTTACATTAAATAAAAAGGTTTTAAACTTAATTAAAATAAAACATGTCTTAAATTAAAATAAGTAAACTGTCATGTTTATTGCTGCCAAAAAAAAGTTAAATACATTTGGACAGTGAAGGAATGCCAGGATTCTTGCTCAGAAAAAGGAGCTGATCAACATGCTCTGAAGTCAGAGCGTGTTCCAGTCCACAAAAACTTTTTTTGTAACAAAATATCGATTTCTGCTGTCCCTGTATCGATACATTATTAGCAAACAAAATATCACGATACTACACAGTATCGATTTTTTCCCCCACCCCTACAAAATAATCATGCTTATGAATTTTTGTGTTGTAGAGTAGCTCTCGGTGGTTGGTAATTTAAAAGTGTTTGATTGAGATCAGGCCCATGATTTTACGAGTCTGCATCTTTCCAATTTGAGGGAATAATACAAGAGAGCATGCCTCAAAAAAACAGCATTTATAAAAGCCAAAGATGTCTTCAAATAGCAACGCTGCACTGGGCTCCTACAGGGAAGCATAATTCATTTTTCCCTCCAGTGTGAACCCAACGGTAGAAACGATGTCTTCTCTAGACTTAGACTTATGTTAAATTAGATTTTAACTATGTAACAGAGGTTTCTCCTTTTGCTGTCGTGTCTTTTCAGATAAACTGTGTATGTTTAACTGCCACCTCTTTCTTTCTTTCTTTCTTTCTTTCTTTCTTTCTTTTTTTTTTTTTTTAAACCGTTCTTCCTCTGTGGTGGTGTCACTGAGTTTGGTCTCAGTTATGAGTCAGCAGCACCAGCGGCTGAGAGGAAGCTTTGCATGGAGCTCCATCACTCACAGGCTCTATTCAGCCTGATTACCAGCTTTGACGGGCTTCTCCTACTGTCTGATAGGGAGACGGGGGGAAGCTGACAAAACTGCTGCAGTTTTTTTTTTCTTTATATAGACTTGAATGTTGAGGCAAGATTAAAGACCTGTTGTTATGAAAGCGGTTAGGATAAATGAAAGCATTTTCAACAATCAATTGCTGTGTAAACCTTCGTCTAATATTTAGGCGATTAAGCTACAGACTCCTAGTAAGGATACTGGTATTGGTTCTGGTACCAAACAGCTGATGTTGGTTTTCTTGCAGCGAGATGTTACTACTTCTAGTAGCCAGGCTTTCTTTGCATTAGCTCGCTTGACAAAACGTAAAACCCCAGTAAGAGTTAATGTGTATCACAATGCTGGTTATCACCTTTCTTTGTTAAGACCTTGATTATACTTTGCTACAGACATGGACCACTGGAGACTCGAGAGCTGAGCTATAATTCCTGTTCCATTTCTTAGAAGGTCGCAGAATAACTCAAGTTTTCTGGCTCAAGTTTCTGAGCTGCAAAGAGGAGTTCATCTCGTCAAGAACAGTCGTGTATTCATGAATTAATATTTTTTGTCTCCCTCTTGGTGAAGTCATTGATTTGTAATCTGTACATTAAAGCTTTGAAATTTTAAACTTGCTTTAAACATTAAAAGCTAGTCTTTTGCTTGCGGTCTGACTCCATCTCATAGCCTGAAGACCCAAAATTAACTACATTCTGGTCTACATCATGTTTGCAGACTGTTTGTGGATTTTGCTTGTATTAAAAGCACACTTCTTGTCATTCTGCATTTTTATTGGTCCACTATATGTATGTCACATTACAGCAAGCACCAAGGCTCCCCCGACGGGCATGCTTGCGCTGTTCTTTGACGGGTAACTGTCCTTGCATTGCGCAGTGGTGCTGTTGTTGTGTTGAAGGTGAAAGACCTTTAATAAAGTATGCACCTTGGTTTTACTATTACTTTTACTCAATATCCTACTCATAGACCAAGAACTCTTTATAATCTGTGGTCAACTATAATTCCCGGACTCTTAGTAGTACATTTACAATTGCTTTGGTCTCTGAATGATAGCAATAGTCATCATTAATGTCTGTGAAGGTTCTCAGTCATCCAGGTCATCGTAGTCAAAGGAGCTTGCAAAGAAAAGCATCTGGACTTCTTTAAGTTGCTTGAAGATGTTTCACCTCTCATCCGAGAAGCTTCTTCAGTTCTAAGGTCAAATGGTGGGGAGTCCCAGATTTAAACCTAGTGGGAGTGACCCCCCAAAGAGGGACAAAAGGACCCCCTGATGATCCTCTAATCGCCTGAGCCAAGGTGTGAAACTGGGTGTGGGTCAAATCAGCCAGGGTTTCTAATTTTGACCATAATTTACAAGGTCAAATTAGTGTTTTACTCAGTATGGCTTGAAATTGGTGTCTGAGCACATAAACTCATCAGGAAAATGTTTTCTGAGGTCACTCTACAGATGCAAGGGGTTTTCTTCCCCTAGACTTCTATAGGCAGTCCTCTTTGCAGAGTCAGAGAGTTCGCCTCCTAATGCTCATTAAATAGAATGCAGTTGTAAGACAAATCTGCATCGGCTTCACTTTTCAGAGCCAGGAGCTACAGATATCTCTTCCAGCTTTTTGGGTCAGGAACCAACTGATATCGACATATCAGAGTGGCCCCACCCTAATTTTAACTGTCCATTGAGCCACGAGAAATTATTTAGATATAACTGCAGAGTTTTGTTATTCCCTGTATTTCCCCGTATCGCCCCAAAGTAAATTAGAGTGCATCATGGGGGTTAAATTTCTTAAATTAGTTCTGAACAATAGGCTTTGTGGCTTAGATATTACCTTTTTACTCTCCCCTACAAAAAGAGGGAGTATGTAATTAGTTCCGTTTGTCTGTCTGTGTTTTTGTTAGCAGTTTAGTCTTCACAGTTTACAAGATATAATTTTCAAATTTTATGTGATGGTAGATACCAACAACAGCTCAAGCTGATTTAATTTTCATGAAAATCAGGTCAAGGTGACACCAAATTTTAAAAAAACTTAAAAACTTTATATTACCCACAATTTCACAACAATATACTAGGCCTTCGGGTACATGAGTACCTGGATTGGGTAATTATTTGGCCTTGACCTTCATTGTTAGCACCCAAGGTAAAACTTAAACCTGGATACAAAAAAATTTAAAAAAATTAAAGAAGGAAACCATATCAAGTATAATGTTTCATGAACGGGCATGGGGAGGGCTGTACAACGGACTTTATCTTTTCAATGCAACGCCCTGCAGCTGAAGCCCTTGCCCTTCGGGGGAGTTGCGCTCTTGATGTGCTTTTGTTAACTAAGAAATCATTTTCTATTAGGGCTGTACGCCTGTTAAATATTTTTGATGTGTAATTCTTTGTTTCTTGTTCTTACACCTCTGTCTTTTCTCCTCTGCCCTCAAAGGAACCATGGGAATACCACTACCCAACTGCATTTGGGAACCAATATGTTGAACATGGTCCGCAACATGTCCGCCTGAGGGGAGCCTGTTCTGGGCGGTGAGAGACAAATGGTGAAAAATTAAAAGTAAAGCGACTCTCCCCTCAACGCACAGCCGATTCCTCACCCCAACCCCCCACCCCTCCTCCTTCTCCCCTCCTGAGTCGGATGGCTCCGAATGACGAGCTGCAGTAATGGAAGTCCACCCGCCGTTCAGCACCGTGGCCATGAAGCAGCTCAAAGGGTAGGGTCTGCCGTGAGCTCGCCTCACCCTACCCACCCTGCACCCCCATCCCCCATCAGCTCCACCTGAGAGCACACTCCCACTCTGAAGTGAATATTCATCATCCTGAACCCTCCCTCCTATCGCCACCTCGGCCACGGCTTTGGAAGACAAACATGACGCGCATTGCGAAGACACTGGTTGATGTCTGATATATATACCTCTGAGGTGTCGAGCGTAAAACCAGCGGAGCAATGAATGGCGGAAAGGACTGCGAGGCAGGAGATGAGAGGCAGGCCGTCCCTGTCCAGGTCCCCATTGGCTGGCAGCGCAAGACAGAGCATGGTGGAGGGGTCGTGTACATAAGGTAAGAAAATGAGATCAAAACCATCAGAGATTTCAAAGCAAACATGGCTACAGATTAAGAGAAATATATATGTGAACCACTGCACATGCTCAGTACATTTAGACTGAAAGCTGTTTAATAAAATGTTTAAACTAATTATGGGCATGAATGTCATGATAATTTCTGGCTTTTAATGATTTCTTTAAGCTGTTCTTTGTTCTGGAATGATTGTATAGCATACATCTTTAATGACTTGATAAAACAAGTACTGGGTGCCCAAGTTTCAATTTATTTTGTATTTTCTCTAATCCACACACGGTCAAAAGTATATATAAATACAGGCTCTGTTATACTGTCTATATACTTGCATATATAGGGGATTTGGGAAGGCCATTTCAGAAACTTAGTTACATCTGAAATCCAAGTTTCATCCATCCACTTTTGATTTTTATCCACTTTGTGCAGTGCACCTTTACCACTGTCAGCAAAACAGGCCCAGAGAATGATGCTACCACCACCATGCTTGACAGTTGGTGCAGTGTTCTTGGGTTTGAAAGCCTCATCTTTACTCCAACTATAACTCAAGGCAACGATATAAGTTCAATCGTTGTCTTGCCACATAATAAACGTTAAAAAAAGAGGTCTATATTGGAGCAGGGGTTTCTTTCTTAATTGGCACCCTCTCTGGTGTTCCAGAGGTTTCCAGTTCATGTCAGGCTTGAACCTTGGTAGTTTCTGTGCTGTTTCTGAAGATCCTAGCCAATTTCCTGTGTGACAGTTTGGGTCTTTTTCCACATCTGAATAACTTGTACTTACAATTGTTTGAACTGATGATCTTCGAGTCTGCAGTTATTTAGACCTTCCTAACTTGTGTAAATCTACAATTCTCCTTCTTAGATCTTCAGTGAGTTCCTTAGACCAGCAACCTTTTTTGCACCACGGCCCGGTTTATGTCTGACGACATTTTCACGGACGTTCAAGGTGTCGCGCATAAATACAACAAAATAAAGCCAGTACCATTACCAAAAAAAGAAGATTTATTCATAAAACATGGAAAAAGACTCAGGGAAACAAAGTTAATGATAAAAACAATAAAAAATGACGATACAAAACCGATAAAAACCCTGAAAACCATAAATTTCACACCCGAGCCTCATCTCTCGCGGCACGGTACCAAATGACTCACGGATGAGGCCCAGGGGTTGGGGACCGCTACAATAGACTTCCCCCACTGTTCTGAGCATTTGTAAGTCCAATAAGGGCTGTTAAACAAATCCTTTCCGTGCTGCAAAGAAATTACCAGTTTTAGTCAATTGTGATCACTAAAAAGAAAAAGCCAAGTTGAGACATCATAGAACCTTCAGCACCACTTATTAAAAGATTTTGAGCCTGTATGTATATGTTTGAGCCTGTGTGGATTATTAAAAAAATCCAAACTTGTTTTGCCCCAAATTACCATGACAGTCATGTTCTTAATGAGTGTATGTGTGGGGCTAAATGGCTGAAAGTCTAACCCCTGGCGTCCACCAATTGAGTATCAGTCTTTTTAAATCAATCTTAAATTGCATCATTTTGTTCCTATAAGAGTCAAGAAGAAATGAAAATTGTCGCCACATCTATCAGCTCATTATTACCACTAGTCTATATTAGGGCTGCACGATTAATCGTTAGAAAATCGCGATCTCGATTCATACTTATGTGCGATCTCATTTCCAAATGACAATGATTTTTAAAAAAAAGAAAAAAAAAAGACGGCGATTGTACCGCATTTTGGTCCGGGACGTAATCTGCATGAAAACAAGCGCTCACTCTTCCTGCTCAACAAATGACAAGGGCGGAGCCTTATACCACGTGATACAGAAGCTGTGCCGTGTGATGCTAAAATTAGCAGGGAAAAAACAACGGAGAGCACGTCAGGGATGACGAGAAAGTGACAGGAGAAAATCTGTCCCGGTCAACCACCCAAACATCAACAACGGGAACCTTATACAGCGCTTCCCTATACCCGTCGAACTCCCGCAGGCACAAAGAAATTACGGAGGCTATCACTTATCACCTGACCAAAGATATGGCTCCCATCAACACTGTGCAGAACGAGGGATTTAGGAAAATGATCAACACCCTAGACAAACGCTACACAGTGCCGTCCCGCAACTATTTTTTTCTATTGTTGCACTACCTGCTCTATACACGCAGCGTCGAGCAATGGTGGAGACAGAATTTCAAGCAGTACAACATTTTGCAGCAACAACAAAACGTGAGACATTTGTTGTTTTTATGTTTATTTATTGTTTTTATGTTCAGTCTCAACTGTTACGAAGTTGATGTGCAGTTAATAAGTGCAATAAATATTTATACTGGAAAAGAAAATCGTGAGAGAATCGTGATCTCAATTCTAAGCCAAAAAATCGTGATTCTCATTTCATGCAAATCGTGCAGCCCTAGTCTATATCATGACTAAAAGTGTGTTCACGAACAACGGAGGTGATTGATGTCATGTATCAAAGGTAAGCGTCAGGTTTTGGTCCCAGTCATTTGAATTCAAAAAGCACCCAGCAGGCTTGTTTACTGTGCACACAGGGTAGAGTTTCTCTAACTGATCGATGAGCAGAAGCATGGCAACTCTTTGATGATGATGCTTCCTGTGTCCAGTCACAGTCACCTGATTTAGTTTCCATTTGGCATGAACTAGACACACAAATTTCTCCACTGATCAGCCCACGGACACAGGTAAGCTGCAGACAGTGAAATGACTAACAAAGCGACTGCTACTCGTCGGTCTCCTCCGATGAGTCGAATCCTTGTAGGCTGTGACTTGGTGTCCTTCCCGGCACGTGCGCTCACCAACCACAATGAACTGAAGCAGTTGGCTGGTGTCAGGTTTATTTTGGGTGTTGGAAAGAATCCTGTCTGTGACCGTGGCCTGATACTGTCACAGCACACTTGTATTTGCTGATGTTCTTTTACATTTGAAAGCATGCTTTTGCTTCAGGGATGATCCTCACAGTTGATTTTTTTTTTTCATTCTTTTTCACAGCCACAGTGATTGATGATTCAGTCTTTGGCTGGTTTGTCAACCAGCCACTGTATATGTTTGATAGGAACTACCAGCGGTACATACTGTTCTTCTTTAGAGGTAGTTTCTTTGTGCCAGCCTTCGAGTGCATAGAGACCCCCTTTTATATCTGTCTTTGGTTAAAGCTCGTTCTAATGTTTCATCCAGGGGTGTCAGACTCCTTTTATTATTACATGGGCCACATGCAGGCTAATTTTATCTCAAGCTGCCGCGACTAGTAAGAACATTGCATAATAACCTATATGTCTAAGTTTCTCCTTTCTTTAACCAGTGTAAAGATACAAAGGCATATTAGGCCTAGATTAAAAACAATTATCACCCAGAAACCGAATTTGTCCTGTGCATGTGTTCCATCCTTTCACAATAAAAGTCCTTGATTGCGTAGCTTCTGTACACAAAATGGCTCACAGAAGTGTACTGAAGTATTAGATACACTTTGCATAATGTGTGCCTCCAGAACTGCCATAATGCTTCATGTCATAGATTAAACAAGGCACTGGAGAATTTGATCCATATTCAGAGATGCTCTTCTGCACATCTGGGTTGTAATGAGTAGTTGTTTGAGTTACTGCTACCTTCCTGTGAGCTTGAAACAGTCTGGCCTTTCTCCTCTGACCTCTGACATCAACAAGATATTTTCTCCCAGAGAAATGCCGCTCACTGGATAATTTCTCTTTTTTAGGTCATCTTCTCTAAACTCTAGTGATGGTTTCTGAAATACCCAGACCAATAACCTTGCCACATTAAGTCACTTAAATCACCTTTCCTTTACCATTATGATGCTCATGTTGTCCTGACTATGCCTAAATGTAGCAAAAAAGGGGAAGCACATTATTAAGACAACCACATTTTCACAATTTTCCTTGAGGAAAGACAAATGAAGAGAAAGTAAATGACAATAATGACTGGGATGTGCTCCTGAGCCCACATGGTGAGGACATAGAGGGGGCGACACACTGTCTTACAGACTACCTCAACTTTTGTGTGGACACGGTCGCCCCTGCTAAGACAGTACGGTGTTATCCTAATAACAAACCGTGGGTAACACAGGAAGTCAAAGCTGTCCTCAACATGAAGAAGAAGGCTTTCAGGAGCAAAGTGAAGGAGGAGATGAAAGCAGCACAGCGGGAGGTGAAACGCTGCCTGAGGGAAGCAAAGGATACCTACAGGAGGAAGGTGGAGCAGAAGTTGGAGAGGAACAATATGAGGGAGGTCTGGAATGGTGTGAAAACCATCACAGGCCACAACACCAAGAAAAGCACAGTGGGGGGGGACTGTGGAGAAGGCAAACGAACTCAACAACTTCTTCAACAGGTTTGACCAGCCCACAACCCCCCCACCCTCACCCTCACCTTCACTACAGAGTCCAATCCCCACTCTCCTACCTCCCTCGCTTCCCCCCCTTCCTGACACCATGACACCCCCTCCTCCAATCCCTCTCTCAGCAGCAAGACATCTCCCCCCCTCCCCTCCTCCCAAACATCTCCCAGTGTCACAGTGGATCAGGTCAGGAGACAACTGAGGAAGCTTCACCCCAGAAAGGCAGCAGGCCCAGACAAGGTGTGTCCTAGGATGCTAAAGGTATGTGCTGCTGAACTTGGGGAGCCGCTACAACGAGTCTTCAACCTCAGTCTGCGACTGGGGAGAGTGCCCGCCCTATGGAAGACATCCTGCATCGTCATGGTCCCCAAAAAGAACCGGCCCAATGAGCTGAATGACTTCCGACCGGTGGCACTGACGTCACATCTTATGAAGACTCTAGAGCGGCTCTTCCTCAACCTCCTCCGACCACAGGTACAACATGCCCAGGACCCACTACAGTTTGCATACAAGGCGGGTGTCGGAGTGGAGGATGCCATCCTGTACCTCCTACACAGAGCCCACTCACACCTGCATGGGGGAAAAGGCACGGTCAGGATCCTGTTTCTTGACTTTTCCAGTGCCTTTAATACCATCCGGCCCTGTATGCTTCAGGAAAAACTGAACAGGATGGAGGTGGACCCCTGCCTGGTGGCTTGGATCTCCGACTACCTCACCGACAGACCACAGTACGTCAGGCTGAAGGACATCACGTCTGACACAGTGGTCAGCAGCACAGGAGCACCACAGGGAACTGTGCTGTCCCCTCTTCTCTTCACCCTGTACACCTCTGACTTCTGCTACAACTCTGAATTATGCCACATTCAGAAGTTTGCAGACGACACAGCCATCATGGGGTGTATCTGGGATGCTCAGGAAGAGGAGTACAGAAGTCTGGTGAGGAACTTTGTCGCATGGAGTCACACAAACCACCTGCAACTCAACACCTCAAAGACTAAGGAACTGGTTGTGGACTTCGGGAGGTCCAGAGAAGGTCCACTGCCGGTTCAGATAGAGGGGGAGGAGGTGGAGGTGGTCAACAAGTACAAGTACCTCGGGCTGTGGGTGGACAATAAACTGGACTGGTCATGCAACACAGAGCACCGGTATAAAAAAGCCCAAAGCCGACTGTACTTCCTCAGGAGGCTGAGGTCTTTTAACATCTGCAGGAAGCTCCTGAGGATGTTTTACCAGTCGGTGGTTGCTGGAGTACTTATCTATGCTGTGGTGTGCTGGGGGAGCAGCACAGCAAAGAAGGACTCATCCAGGCTGGAGAAACTGGTCAGAAAGGCTAGCTCTGTGGTCGGCATGAAGCTGGACACTCTGGTGACAGTGGCAGAGAAAAGGACATTAAAGAAACTGACGGACATTATGGACAATGCTGGGCATCCTCTGCACACGGCCATTAACAACCAGAAGAGTCTGTTCAGTGACAGGTTGCTTCTCCCAAAGACAAGAACTAACAGACTTAAAAACTCCTTTGTCCCACACGCCATCAGACTGTTTAACTCCTCTCTGGAGGGGAGAGGGAGGGGAAACAGGAGGACAAAGGAGGGGGGAACAACTAAGCTGTAGTGCCTCTGCACCTCACTGTACAATACCTTGTGCAATACTTTTTGTAAATAGTCAACAGTGCAATAGACCTCAATACTTGAAATGTGCAATTCACTTGTATTTTTATTTTTTATTCCTATTTATTCTATTTATCCCCTTCATATATTTTATTTATATTGTCTCTGTATTTATATATATGTGTGTGTGTGTGTGTATATATATATATGTGTATGTATGTATGTGTATATATATATATATATAAATATAAATAAAATATTCTGTAACTCTGTAACTTCTGTCGGTGCTGTGCTTTTTTGGAAATCGAATTTCCCAGAGGAACCCACCCGAGGGATTAATAAAGTTCTATCTAATCTAATCTAATTATTTTCTGTCTTCATGTAAAGTGCATATATATTGTTCTGGTCAGGTGTTTTAATACATGTAGATGGAGATTATTCCTCCGCGGTTGATTTCATGCTAACTACTATCCAAAAACAGTCTGAAGGAGCTGCTAACCTGCCTCAGAGAAGGGGAAAAAAAAGTTTGTATCCATCGTGTTTCTTTTCTTCTTCCACGTTAACACTAAAGATCAGTGTTCAGGAGCTCCAGTCTAAAAATGTTGAATCTTATTTCAAACGGGTGTTTCAGCAAGCTTCCCAGAAGGAGCATTTTTGCTGTGGATCATTGCCAGCTTCAGCTTCAGCCTCACCTTGTTGTTGTTCTCTGTGTGCAGTCCCAGTGGCTCGGTGCTGTCCAGCTTGGAGCAGGTGAGGACCTACCTGCTGACAGATGGAACCTGCAAATGCGGCCTGGAGTGCCCACTCATCCTCCAAAAGGTATATTTATTTATTTATTTGTTTTCTTTTGGCTCTGATTAAAACACAGTGAGATTTTTACAGCTGCTCCAATCTGAGCTCCAGATGATTCGCTATTTAGAGATTAAGATGGAGGAGCCAATCTGCGACGGAAATTAAAATTCTGTTGTCCACAAATTACGGCTAAACAAGGACCCCTAAATTTAAACTGGTGTGTGGTGTTTGTTTGTACAGGCTCCTTTCAGAGCTCTAATCATCAGGCAACTTGAGTGTACAGTGATAACTGCTGTTTCCTTTATTTACAGTAGAGATTTAATGTAACACCATCACAGTTTTCAGTTATTGTTATGCAGAAAGGAAAAACACAAACTGTATAAGCAAAAATTACATTTATTTATACAAACTGTCAGTTTTATCCTATTAAACAAAATCACAAGTTAAATCTCATCTTTGGCATTTTTTGGGCCGTTATTTTACAGTGCAGTATAAACACAGAATGGACAGGAAAGCAGGAGGCATATATAGCACTGCTACATATGCCTCTTTTCCACTAGTACCTTCTCCACTCGATTCTACTCGGTTTCAGTCGTTTTCCATTACAATTCAGTGCTTTGGGCTGTTAAAGCAACACTGCCAAAAGACCCGTCATGTCATTTGTATATGCAACAAAAACAACACAAAAATGTAGGATGTGGTAGGTATAAAGGTGATGGTGTGCCTGCTGCTAAACCGAAAGTAAGCATCTTCACTTCGTCACTGGACCACGGTGTCGGTGTTTGTGCAGCCATTGGCAATAAGTGAGGTGGTTGGCAACCAGTTTTTAGGCCACTCCCTAGAGTGGACACTCCCCACACTCTTATTTTGAAAGTTCACTTGCTGCTAAACCATTAGCATCCAGTCTTTCCAGTTTTCCTTACCGATAATGCCAATTAGGCGGTTGTTTTGGTGGTCCCCTATACTGGGCTCAAAATGGAAGAGTTGGGAGTCTACGGGATGAGAAACTCCAAAAACTACTTTGTTATGTATGGTCACAAAGTTTCTACTTTAGAGTCTTCTAGTTTCCTTTCAGGACCACTGCCTCTATTGTCTGCTCTGACAGCTTTGAATGGTGGTTCTGAAGTTTTATTCTTCAAAGTGTGCAGAGACTCAAATCAGTGTGGCTTAGAGTGAATTGCAGGAGTGAAATTATAAAAGAGTATACAGGAAAAGCTCTCCTGTAGCATAATCCTCTCCTATTTCATACTTAGGATGTATGAAATGAACCCAAGCTGACCCACTGATCTCTGTAGGACCAAACTACAAATGTTGGGGTTATGTGAGGCGTCACATTACACGGGGTAATCTGACCGATTATCCTTCCTGATGCTAAATTTGTCCCCAACACTCCACGCCATTATCAGAATGATTTTGTAGCTGCACGTCTTCCCTTATGAGTGCCCCCTCCCTGCTGTCTTCTTAGTATCTGAAAATGAAGATGCAAATATTTTTTAAGACTCATTTTCTGGTCTTAAACATTAGTTCACTTTTACATCTTAACCGTCTTAAGATGTGGGATATCACATATCTCATATCATGAGGTGCTTGGGAGAGCCGCTGCCTCCATGTTTATCTGCGATTTAGTCTATGTACATCACTGCCTGTGCTGTTAAGACAGCCCCAAGAGATGATGAGCGTGAGGAAAATATAGTGTGCTGCCAGACCTGGATGTGATTTACATAATATTCAGGGGTGGTCACGTGGCTCGGGGAAGCAGCTTCCTGGCCTCAAAACTGATCCTCACCATCCTTATTCTGGGCCCACAGCATGCTTTCTTTTCTTTCTTTTTTTTCTTTTCCTTTTTTTGTGGGGAGCTCTGATTAGTTGCAAAGCGTGATAATAAGCTTACTGTTATCTGTGAATCCATGATCACAGGAGATCCCAGTTTTCTCTTGAAAGAATTGCAGTTGCTCTAGAAGCCCACGGGTGACTGGATGGATGGGTGGATATCTATGTTTCTGTGTGCACTGATCTAAGAGGACTGTTTAAGCAGGGTTTTTCATGCGTACTGATTTTGCACAGGTATGTCAAGGAAAAATACTATTTGATATTCACAGGAATTTCTTGGACGATTCCTTGAAGATCCTTCCCCAGCCACTCTCGGATGACTGGGCATTGTTGTGGCATGCTGGCTTTACCTGAGGCCTGCACTCTGAAGCAGGATTTGGGCGCAGTGAGGAAATTTCAGTGTTAGGAAGATGAAGGTTTACTTCTCATAACTATAGTAACCTATGCTGGAGAATTAAGCTGCTCCTTAGCAAGCTTTGTTTAAGATTTGACATTAACGGGTATGAAATCAGCTTGCACTCACCAGTAATTTCTCTGGAAAATGGTGTCATCATTCCTAAAAGATCCCTCTGGGCAAACAAGGGCAGTTGTTGACCTTTTATTAGCGTTGCGAATAGCCTCAAACACCAGTGTTTGTCGTTCACATTAAAAAAAAAAGAAGTTTCGAAATATTAACCTTTAGTGTAATGAAAACAACTCTGTTTCGTGCTACAATCAGACTGAGGAAAACAGTGATTGCAGACCTGCAGTATTAATAAAATTATAGCAGCCATAGGTGTTCTACACCCTTTCTTTTATATAGTGATACAATCGGAATACAACCAGTTACATTTAGTCCCCTACTGCAAAGAGTTGCGTTGCAGGAAGTAGTTGTCAGTCTGCACTCGTTTTTACAGACTGACTCAGATTGATTATAGTATTTAGACTTCTGCCGGAAATGTACGTCCTAACTTACAACATAACTGAAAATCCTATGCTGTAACCTGAGTTGCACCTCCCAAGAAATGTGTTGGATTGAAGCAGCCAACAACTATTGTGAGCAACCTGTTCTGCACCGTTAGCTCCTCCTGTGCATTTCCAGCTACAGTTTTTTATTAAATATGGAGTTCCTACTGGGAGATTGCTGAAACTACTGAAATGGACATTAGAATTTTATGAAGAAGTTAAAAAGCAAAAAAAAAAAGAAAAGAAAACCTGGCTCTGCAAAGACTCCCTGCAGAAGTGAAACTCAGGCATATGTTGGCAATCGGACTGTGTTTATAAATTATTTGGCAGTTGTTTGCAAACCTTCACCAATCTGAGGGTGATTGCAGTCAATCTGAGTTGGACTGTGATTGTTTGAAGACAGGTTGCCTGTATAGTGATCTTGAGATTGAAAGTGTTGCCCAGAGGTTGCATGCTCAACTCCTGGATGACAAGTTAGCTCTTTTACTAGTCATGAGAAGACTGCTTGCTCTGATGTGACTGGAACCTTAATGATAGAGGTCCCAGTTGATCTCTGCTGTCAGGTTTTTTTTTTCCTGGATACAAATAGGCTAAACTTTAGTATTACAGCAGCACCTTTTTAGTCGTACTGACCAAAGCACTTAAAGCTCTCTCACATTCACACGGTGCTTTTAATGCGCTTCACTCTCACTCGCAGTCTGCTGAGCTGTCTGCAGCAGCTGTGCTGGTTTCAGTCTGCTTTATGTCGTTTTATATCAGTTTTATCTTCCTTTGTAAAACCAGTTGTTGTGCTGCCAGTGCACTTCACTTTTTTTCTCATTGGGGAGGTGCTCAACCTTTGTGTGACCGCTTGACCCGATTGATAATGTGTTGATAAATAAAGACAGATATGAAAAAGGCATCCTGGGTATGGTGAATTTGATTAACAGTGTATATGATATACAGTGGGGCAAAAAAGTATTTAGTCAGCCACCGATTGTGCAAGTTCCCCCACCTAAAATGATGACAGAGGTCAGTAATTTGCACCAGAGGTACACTTCAACTGTGAGAGACAGAATGTGAAAAAAAAATCCATGAATCCACATGGTAGGATTTGTAAAGAATTTATTGGTAAATCAGGGTGGAAAATAAGTATTTGGTCAATAACAAAAATACAACTCAATACTTTGTAACATAACCTTTGTTGGCAATAACAGAGGTCAAACGTTTACTATAGGTCTTTACCAGGTTTGCACACACAGTAGCTGGTATTTTGGCCCATTCCTCCATGCAGATCTTCTCGAGAGCAGTGATGTTTTGGGGCTGTCGCCGAGCAACACGGACTTTCAACTCCCGCCACAGATTTTCTATGGGGTTGAGGTCTGGAGACTGGCTAGGCCACTCCAGGACTTTCAAATGCTCCTTACAGAGCCACTCCTTTGTTGCCCGGGCGGTGTGTTTTGGATCATTGTCATGTTGGAAGACCCAGCCTCGTTTCATCTTCAAAGTTCTCACTGATGGAAGGAGGTTTTGGCTCAAAATCTCACGATACATGGCCCCATTCATTCTGTCCTTAACACGGATCAGTCGTCCTGTCCCCTTGGCAGAAAAACAGCCCCATAGCATGATGTTTCCACCCCCATGCTTCACAGTAGGTATGGTGTTCTTGGGATGCAACTCAGTATTCTTCTTCCTCCAAACACGACGAGTTGAGTTTATACCAAAAAGTTCTACTTTGGTTTCATCTGACCACATGACATTCTCCCAATCCTCTGCTGTATCATCCATGTGCTCTCTGGCAAACTTCAGACGGGCCTGGACATGCACTGGCTTCAGCAGCGGAACACGTCTGGCACTGCGGGATTTGATTCCCTGCCGTTGTAGTGTGTTACTGATGGTGACCTTTGTTACTTTGGTCCCAGCTCTCTGCAGGTCATTCACCAGGTCCCCCCGTGTGGTTCTGGGATCTTTGCTCACCGTTCTCATGATCATTTTGACCCCACGGGATGAGATCTTGCGTGGAGCCCCAGATCGAGGGAGATTATCAGTGGTCTTGTATGTCTTCCATTTTCTGATGATTGCTCCCACAGTTGATTTTTTCACACCAAGCTGCTTGCCTATTGTAGATTCACTCTTCCCAGTCTGGTGCAGGTCTACAATACTTTTCCTGGTGTCCTTCGAAAGCTCTTTGGTCTTGGCCATGGCGGAGTTTGGAGTCTGACTGTTTGAGGCTGTGGACAGGTGTCTTTTATACAGATGATGAGTTCAAACAGGTGCCATTCATACAGGTAACGAGTGGGGGACAGAAAAGCTTCTTACAGAAGACGTTACAGGTCTGTGAGAGCCAGAGATTTTCCTTGTTTGAGGTGACCAAATACTTATTTTCCACCCTGATTTACGAATAAATTCTTTACAAATCCTACCATGTGAATTCATGGAATTTTTTTTCACATTCTGTCTCTCACAGTTGAAGTGTACCTCTGGTGCAAATTACTGACCTCTGTCATCATTTTAAGTGGGGGAACTTGCACAATCGGTGGCTGACTAAATACTTTTTTGCCCCACTGTATATGTATATATGACAGAAAATGGGGAATAAAACCAATAAAATGGCTAACAATAAAGGCCATTGCATGAGAGCACAGAAACATGGTGCAAAACGTAAATTAATTAAGCAAAAAGATTGTGAGTAAACTTAAACTACTTAGAACTGAAGAAGCTTCTCAGATGAGAGGTGAAACATCTTCAAGCAACTTAAAGAAGTCCAGACGCTTTTCTTTGCAAGCTCCTTTGATGATTGTGAGTAAACAAGCAAAACAATGACCAAGTCAGTTCAGTGACTTCTATCCACTTTTATTTATCTCCTCAGGTGTTCAACTTCGACCCCGGGGCAGCTGTCAAACAGAGGACAGCGGAGGATGTGAAAGCAGACGAAGATGTCACCAAACTCTGCATTCACAAGAGGAAGCTGCTGGCTGTGGCCACACTGCACAAGAGCATGGAGACGCACCCGCCTCTGGCACTGACCAGTTCAGGAGGAGGTACGAGTATACGTTACAGCTCTGAAACCATTTGTCAGGACACTTGGAAGTTAGCTCCAATAAATCCAAATGAAAGAGGACAGTGTTGATGTAATTTACGTCCTAGTTTTGGAAAATATCAGTGAGTTTGGTAAGTAATTTATCCATTGTAGAAGTTCAAAATTCTAGCTGAACTTATACACAATAAGCAAATGAAATATTTGGAGGTTTTCAGGCCTTTCACGTTGCCTCTGTGATATTCTGTCAAATCCACTCACTTTTATTTGAACTCGAAAATAAAGACAATCATAAATACTTAAAATTACCGTCTATTCATATATAAATCATACTTTAAGATGTATAAAACAGAGAAAAAGAAGAGAGAGGGAGATGCAGAGAGAAATTTATTGACACAAACTTGGAAGTAATAGATATAGAGTAATATGAAAATAATCAAGAAATCACCTATCTGTTTTGTGTCTGCTAATGGTCAATCCACCTTTACAGTTGTACTACTGAAAGTCAGTTATATGTAAGATTAAAAAGGTGTGTGTTTAAGAGCTTTTTAGATTATTCTCAGTTTGTATTATTAGGGAGTCCAGCATAGCGAGCACCACAATAATCTGGTTCATTTGAAGTGAATGCACAAGTGTTTCATAATCACGTCGAGTTAGGAATTAAGAGATAAGATAAGATAAAACTTTATTAATCCCTCGGGTGGGTTCCTCTGGGAAATTCGGTTTCCAAAAGCACAGCACCGACAGAAGTTACAGTTACAGAATATTTTTTATATATATATATATATACACACACACACACACACACACACACACACACACACACACACATATATATAAATACAGAGACAAATATAAATAAAATATACGAAGGGGATAAATTGAATAAATAGGAATAAAAATAAAAATACAAGTGAATTGCACATTTCAAGTATGGAGTCTATTGCACCGTTGACTATTAACAAAAGTATTGCACAAAGGTATTGCACAGTGAGGTGAAGAGGCACTACAGCTTAGTTGTTCCCCCCTCCTTTGTCCTCCTGTTTCCCCTCCCTCTCCCCTCCAGAGAGGAGTTAAACAGTCTGATGGCGTGTGGGACAAAGGAGTTTTTAAGTCTGTTAGTTCTTGTCTTTGGGAGAAGCAACCTGTCACTGAACAGACTCTTCTGGTTGTTAATGGCCGTGTGCAGAGGATGCCCAGCATTTTTCCTTATTTTCCAGCAGTTTCTTTAGTGTCCTTTTCTCTGCCACTGTCACCAGAGTGTCCAGCTTCATGCCGACCACAGAGCTAGCCTTTCTGACCAGTTTCTCCAGCCTGGATGAGTCCTTCTTTGCTGTGCTGCTCCCCCAGCACACCACAGCATAGATAAGTACTCCAGCAACCACTGACTGGTAAAACATCCTCAGGAGCTTCCTGCAGATGTTAAAAGACCTCAGCCTCCTGAGGAAGTACAGTCGGCTTTGGGCTTTTTTATACAGGTGCTCTGTGTTGCATGACCAGTCCAGTTTATTGTCCACCCACAGCCCGAGGTACTTGTACTTGTTGACCACCTCCACCTCCTCCCCCTCTATCTGAACCGGCAGTGGACCTTCTCTGGACCTACCGAAGTCCACAACCAGTTCCTTAGTCTTTGAGGTGTTGAGTTGCAGGTGGTTTGTGTGACTCCATGCGACAAAGTTCCTCACCAGACTTCTGTACTCCTCTTCCTGATCATCCCAGATACACCCTATGATGGCCGTGTCATCTGCAAACTTCTGAATGTGGCATAATTCAGAGTTGTAGCAGAAGTCAGAGGTGTACAGGGTGAAGAGAAGAGGGGACAGCACAGTTCCCTGTGGTGCTCCTGTGCTGCTGACCACAGTGTCAGACGTGATGTCCTTCAGCCTGACGTACTGTGGTCTGTCGGTGAGGTAGTCGGAGATCCAAGCCACCAGGCAGGGGTCCACCTCCATCCTGTTCAGTTTTTCCTGAAGCATACAGGGCCGGATGGTATTAAAGGCACCGGAAAAGTCAAGAAACAGGATCCTGACCGTGCCTTTTCCCCCATGCAGGTGTGAGTGGGCTCTATGCAGGAGGTACAGGATGGCATCCTCCACTCCGACATCTGCCTTGTATGCAAACTGTAGTGGGTCCTGGGCATGTTGTACCTGTGGTCGGAGGAGGTTGAGGAAGAGCCACTCTAGAGTCTCCATAAGATGTGACGTCAGTGCCACCGGTCGGAAGTCATTCAGCTCATTGGGCCGGTTCTTTTTGGGGACCGGGACGATGCAGGATGTCTTCCATAGGGCGGGCACTCTCCCCAGTCGCAGACTGAGATTGAAGACTCGTTGTAGCGGCTCCCCAAGTTCAGCAGCACATACCTTTAGCATCCTAGGATACACCTTGTCTGGGCCTGCTGCCTTTCTGGGGCGAAGCTTCCTCAGTTGTCTCCTGACCTGATCCACTGTGACACTGGGAGATGTTTGGGAGGAGGGGGGGGGGAGATGTCTTGCTGCTGAGAGAGGGATTGGAGGAGGGGGGTGTCATAGTGTCAGGAAGGGGGGAAAGCGAGGGAGGCAGGAGAGTGGGGAGAGGACTCTGTAGTAAAGGTGAGGGTGAGGGTGGGGGGGTTGTGGGCTGGTCAAATCTGTTGAAGAAGTTGTTGAGTTCGTTTGCCTTCTCCACAGTCCCCCCCACTGTGCTTTTCTTGGTGTTGTGGCCTGTGATGGTTTTCACACCATTCCAGACCTCCCTCATATTGTTCCTCTCCAACTTCTGCTCCACCTTCCTCCTGTAGGTGTCCTTTGCTTCCCTCAGGCAGCGTTTCACCTCCTGCTGTGCTGCTTTCATCTCCACCTTCACTTTGCTCCTGAAAGCCTTCTTCTTCATGTTGAGGACAGCTTTGACTTCCTGTGTTACCCACGGAAGTATTATTAGGATAACACCATGCCGTCTTAGCAGGGGCGACTGTGTCCACACAAAAGTTGAGGTAGTCTGTAAGACAGTGTGTCGCCCCCTCTATGTCCTCACCATGTGGGCTCAGAAGCACATCCCAGTCTGTGGTGTCATAGCGGTCTCTCAGAGCATCCTCCTTTTCCGGGGTCCATCTCCGGATGGAGCGCGTTGTGACAGGCTGCCTTTGGACGAGGTGTGTGTATTGTGGCTGTAGGTAAACCAGGTTGTGGTCTGACTTCCCTAGTGGGGGGAGGGGGGTGGCTCTGTATGCATTGCTCACATTAGCATACAGTAGGTCAATTGTCCTGTTGCTCCTTGTGGGACAATTCACAAACTGGTGAAAAGCAGCCAGAGTAGAGTCCAGTGTGGCATGATTAAAGTCTCCAGATATAATAATGAAAGCCTCGGGGTTTTGTGTCTGAAGTCTTGCTTTGACTGTGTGTATTTTCTCACAGGCAGCTGCTGCGTCGGCCCTCGGAGGGATGTAAACACACACACAGATCACATGACTGAACTCCTGAGGTAGATAATATGGCCACAAGCTAACAGCTAGCAGCTTCAGATTCCGGGCGGCATACCGAAACTTTAACGGAGACGTGTCCAGGGTTACAGTATCTGTTGTTAACGTAGACAATGAGTCCCCCACCTCTGCTTTTTCCGCTGGCCTGCGTGTCCCTATCGGCTCTCACGGATGTGAAACCGCATAGGTCTACGTTAGCCTGTGGCGTTAGCTCGGTTAGCCACGTCTCCGTGAAGATAAACAAGCTACACTCACGAGTTCACGTTGCCCATTATCACTGTCGGGATTGATGGTTTGAATCGCCTCCGGTGATCCGCTCTCCTCGCTCCAGCTTTGCAGCCTCTGTAGCTCCTCTTTATCTCAGCCGGGATGTTGTGTCGCATGCCGATCTGTCCCTTTGTTCTTAGTGCCAGCAGCTCCGCTCTCGAATAGATGAAGGAGCTGGTTCCAGAAGTTTTAAAAAGTGCATTAATTCAATTCAATTCAATTCAATTTTATTTATATAGCGCCAAATCACAACAAAAATCGCCTCAAGGCGCTTCATAGATACAGAGAAAAACCCAACAATCATATGACCCCCTATGAGCAAGCACTTTGGCGACAGTGGGAAGGAAAAACTCCCTTTTAACAGGAAGAAACCTCCGGCAGAACCAGGCTCAGGGAGGGGCGGTCATCTGCTGCGACCGGTTGGGGTGAGAGAAGGAAGACAGGATACAAGACATGCTGTGGAAGAGAGACAGAGGTTAATAACAAGTATGATTCAATGCAGAGAGGTCTGTTAATACATAGTGAGTGAGAAAGGTGACTGGAAAGGAAAAACTCAATGCATCATGGGAATCCCCCGGCAGCCTACGTCTATCCGGTTGTTCAGTGATGACGCGACGAATCTTACTTCCGGGTCTAAAGTAGTCTGCGTTTAATATGGCTTTTGTGTTGTTAACATGTTTAATGTTATGTATTTTCTTCTATTTGATCTCAAAAAGCTCCTAAAACAGTCAGTGATCACTGTTGACCTCCCTCGGCTTTTATTACCGCTAATCATTTATTTAAGCTCAGTTTTTAAAACCTTAGGATGTAACTACAGCCCAGCCCATGCAGCAGTATATGAATGACTAACCTCGTATTGTGGATGGATTATCTCAGTTGTTCTCCTGGCTGAAGTTTGGTCCTTTTACAGCATCCTGCCATGCGATTACATTTGTTCCTGACCACCGAGAACACTCACATTAACTTTTATCGAGTGGAAAAAAAGTTAGCTTGTTTATATTATGCTAACATAGCTGTGTCGCTAGCGGTCACGTAGCACATCATTATATACCAGCTAGCCCAACTTCAGTAACCCTACAAACATCACTGCTGTTTAGTTTTCTGTCTTCATTTATGCTGGAAGTGATAACAGAGCTGTACGTTTTAATTTGTTTCCAAAACCCCGCAGTCAGGACATGCTAGCGAGCTAACTTCCTGCTAACTTCTAACTCCGTTAAATTTCATAAATTCCGTTTTCATGGATGCCTGGATGTTAAACTCAATTGTTACACCTGGTAGAGCAGAACGCTGATCATTTTATTAAAGATGAAAGACTTTAGACAGTTTTTCAACTCTCAGTAATGCCATAGTGATCGTTTGATATATGGACCTGCAGCGGAGTTTAGACCCAGACACGGCTAGTGACGTCAGACTGAACAACCGGATTGCAGCATAACTAAGGGAGGAGCATTATCCATCTTGTATCACTATATCTAAGAGGTATAAGTAGAGTAACTAGAGGAAGGTGAAATAAAGTTTTAAAGCCTAGTCTAAAAAAAGTTAAAGTTAAGAAAAAGGTGTGGTGTTGCAGAGCTACTTGGAAAGGCTGCCGTCACTCCAGCGCCATCTTGTATATGTTGTATATAATTGTCTTATTCTAGCGATATTTCCAAGAAGGAAGAAGGCTCTCTTGGTAAATAACTTGCCAGCCTATTAAAGTCCTACATTTTGAGTTAAACTACACATGGAGGTGAATAATAGTTACTTTCTTCTTCTGACTAATGTTTTCTCCAAGCTGTTGGTCCTGGTTTAACTCAGACTTTCCTTTTCTTTCTTTTTTTTTCTCTTTAAGGTACATCATCTGTGGTTGCTGTGCATTCCACAACTCAACGAGCAATAAGGACTAAACCCCACGATGGCGTGCCCAACTCTGTTGGCCCTGACTGTAAGAACCCTTTCAAGGTGATGATGGCAGGCGGACAGCAGCAGCAGAGGCTGTATCCACCCCAGGAGTTGGGTGGAGCCCAGCAGCCAGAGCATTACCCTGGGTACCCCAGGCTGCAGAGGCTGGGCAGCGGGGAGCCAGGCCCTAAATCCCCTTACCGGTCCGGGTATGGAGGCATGTTGAGCCCACCTCCATCTGGTGCTAAGCTTTATGGAGATGGCTCGCAGTCTCCCAGTACAGAAACTCTGGGCAGCCCTGAGGGCTTTACAAGGACCAATCCTTGTGGGTTTCCAGGAGGCGGTAGCCCTGGCTCAGCCTCTATCCACGGAAACACTAGGACACCTCTTTCCCCGCCTAGTGTGATGCTTCACGGCTCCCCAGCGGGCCAGCCATCGTGTGCCATGACAGGAAGGACTAGCACGCCCCTCTCCCCAACGGCCACTGCCAAAAGCCCTGTCATTAACATGAACATGCCGCGGGGGAACTTCCCCCCTGGTATGGATATGCCCCGTGCAACATTTCACCATAAAACACAGCCCCCTGTGCACCCTGTACCGCCCCCTCCATCCATACCGCCATCCTGTGCCCTCCAGAAAAGGCAGTTAACGTCTGAAAAGGACCCCTTAGGCATCCTGGACCCCATCCCTAACAAGCCAGTCAGCCTGACTCCCACCAATGCCCCAACACCCTCCAACTTCCAGCCTAACATCCACTCTCAGGTACCAGTGATGAATGTAAACATACCCCCTCCCGCCATTGTTCCCTTGCCAAGCAACTTACCGTTACCCACAGTGAAGCCTGGGCCTGTGGGTCATGGTGGCCATGTTCAAAGGACTCAGCAGGGTGGTCCGGCTTCCTCCATGTCTCCCTCCCCCGTTACCTCACCTGTCCACATGGCTGGGCCTGCGCTTGGGAGAATAGAGGCCTCCCCTCATCGCTCGCGTTCATCCTCCACCTCCTCTGACCACGGTAACTTTGCGATGCCCTCGGGACATCAGGCCCCGTGTGGCACCATAAAGGTTCCTCCTCGTTCCCCTCGATCAGCTATGGGGTCTCCCAGGCCCGCCATGCCCTCCAGCCCCTCCACTAACAAAACCGATGCACTCCATCAGTACAAAGACTCCCAGCTGCTGCCCGGTATGGCAAATTCAATTGGCGCCCAGCAGCACGGCAATCCCATGTACTCTCCAACCTCTTCCTCCTCCTCGTCATCTTCTCTGGCCACGCCCAGTGCTTCCCAGAAGGGTCACCCGGGACTCCTGGGGATGCCCCTCAACCAGATCCTCAACCAACAGAATGCCGCTTCCTTCCCCGCCAGCAGCCTCCTGTCAGCCGCAGCCAAAGCACAGCTAGCAAATCAAAACAAACTCAGCGCTGCTGGCAACAGCACTACTGGCATGGCTGCTGGTGGTGTTGGTATGTCAGGCATGGGGGCAGGTGGCGGAGGTAATGGAGGGGGTGGAGGGCATCCTGGCCCCGTGAGTGGCCCTCGAGGCATGGAAGGACACAGCACTTTAAATCCCATGCTCCCGCCAAACTCCACCATGCTGCTCAACACTCCTGAGGGCCAGAGCGGCCGGGCAGCTCTCAGAGACAAGCTCATGGCCCAGCAGAGGGATCCCATGCGCAAACGAAAGCAATCATCCGGGAGCGGTGCCGTAAACCATGACAACAATATGGTGTATAGCATGCTCAGCAAGCCAGGCATAGGAGGACACCACATGCCGGGCCCCAGTGCCACTGAGCAGCTACGAAAAGTGGGACGACTCGGAAACCTTCACCCGAACACCTCCATGGCCCAGCTTCTTCAGTCCATGAGCAGCCACAGTTCTCACAACCTGGCAGGCAGTGGTCATCGTCCAGGTCTAAACCCCGGACCGGCATCCGGCGCTTCAGGAGTCGCACCGCTACACTACAACGACAATACCGGCATGGTCCCCGGTGGCACTCAGCAGAACCTCCTTGTCCAGCAGAGGCTGCGGGGTCCAGGGGAAACCCTGCAGCACTGCCAGAACATGGACACCTCTGGGGGCCACCTGGGCCCACGTCCAGGCCAGTTCCCGGACATGATGGCTCAGATGCAGGCATCCTCCATGAGTAACTGTGGGCCTATGGGGCCAGGCGGCACACTGGTGGGACCTGACGGCATAGCGCTGGGGCGCCCAAACACTAACCCCCCACCACTATCGCATCCTGGCCCCCACCCCTCACAGCTTCATAGCATGGGACGGACTAACATGGTGATTCCACATGGAGGTGGTGATGGAAGCTGTACCCAGAGCGTCTCCGAGACAGGTGAGATGAGATTAAACCTACTTCTAGCTGTATGACAGGTAGAAACAGGAGGAAGGTATGGAAAATGCTGAACATCAATAATCTTAATGTTTATTCAGGATTCATTACAACCTGTCACATTGTTCAAAACCTCCATCTAGGTAACACCATCTCTATCAAGGTATGATTTTATGCAATCTCAAACTATAAGGGAAGACGTTACTAGAGTGTCATTTACTGCCATGTATGTTGAATACTCTGGTGCTACGAAAGAAGTGAAATCTTTATCATTCAGAAGGGATGCATTTAATCTCCCATCGTGGCCTGTGTTCCAGAGAAGTACTAGTGGGGAATGGTCTGACAATGTGATTGGGATTAGGGCTGGGCAATATGAGGAAAATCTAATTTGATATTTCTTGGCTACATCACGATACACAATATATATCACGATATGGTTAAATAACCTCCAAAAAACAAATGTTATTTTAAACCACATAGTGCCTAAAATTGCACTGGTATACTCATTCAAATCAGCCATTCAATGTTTTTTTTTTTTTTTAATTATCCGTTCGCAGCATGTGGGAGGGAGAAAAAAACCTTATAGTGAATTACATGCAGACAGCTTAATATTGCCATGGCAATTTATACTCGATGGTTACGATAAAGCCATTTTAACCATCGTGCGTAGAAAAACTTGCGATACATCAAGTATATTCAGTCCCTAATTGGGAGAATCTCAACATTTTTAATTCTATATATCTCTACTTGTGAGGTGAAAAATAAGTCTGTTCTAGTGTAGGAACAGTGCCTACTTGGGTAAAATGTGAAACTCCTTCTTTTAGGAAACTTAGACCTTCAGACATCCACCAGGCCTGCTTCTGTAGCTTAATATTCAAGCGTATTCTACTTACTAGGGGTGGGGGGGGAAATTGATACTGTGTAGTATCGTGATATTTTGTTTGCTAATAATGTATCGATATAGGGACAGCAGAAATCGATATTTTGTTACAAAAAAGGTTTTTGTGGATTGGAACACGCTCTGACTTCAGAGCATGTTGATCCTTTTTCTGAGCAAGAATCCTGACATTCCTTCACTGTCCAAATGTGTTTAACTTTTTTTTGGCAGCAATAAACATGACAGTTTACTTATTTTATTTAAGACATGTTTTATTTTAATTACGTTTAAAACTTTTTTATTTAATGTAAAATTATATTTTGTTTTAACTCATTCACTGCCATTGACGTCTATAGCCGTCAATTGCAGTGAATGAGTCAATGGGTTTAACTCATTCACTGCCAATGGCTGGCAGTGAATGAGTTAATTTACTTTCAAATTCTTCAGTTGCTGAATGGGCTGCATAGTTTTCATAAATTGCATAGTTCAGAATAGCTATAATTGTACCAGATGGTTGCATTCAGTTAAGTTGGACTAGACTGTAATACAAACCGTTCAGTTTGTCAACAATAAAACTGACTGAAATGAGAGAAAGACTGAGTGTGAGACTTTGATATTAGATAAAATGAATATTGATAAAGTTTACCTTTATGTACAGAATCTGAATATCGCAAAATATTTTAAAAAATTGCAATAATATCGTGCGTTAAGTATTGTGATAATATCGTATCGTGGGATGTATGGTGATTCCCACCTCTACTACTTACCTGTGATAAGGGAGGCCCTAGAGGTTGGTTACCAGTCTAATGATTCAGACATCACACAATGAAAATCTTCCCTCATCAGCAACAGGCCTGAGCTATAGCTGATATTCATTTTAAATACATGTTTGACAGAGCCTAGGTCATCCTCACTGGGAGCATATATGTTGACAAGGCATACCTCCCATTCGTCAATTAATCTGTTCAATAAAATGTTATCTTCCCTCAGAGTTTCTGTAAAATTAACTTGTCTGTGGATGAGTATAGCTACACCTATTTTTCTTCCTGATTAAGGTAAGAAAAAACACACTTTTTCTGCCCAGGACGTTTTTTTCAGGTGTGTTTCCTGCAGTGGTGCTATAGAGACCCTTAACATTATAACTTAAAACTTTTAATCCATCCATTGTCTATAGATAAAATAATATTCTTTTTGGAGAAGAAGATTGGGGTAGGAGGGTGAGCCTCGAAAGATGCACTGCTGACTGGGCTGGGAGTTCCATGACTTTCAAAAGTGGAGGTAAAGGGGATCTATAGGCTAATTTCAAAGGGAAAGTACATTCTCTGTGAGTTCGGTATGTACCTTTGGGTTGAGTCACGAAGAGAGATTTATAAAAATGGTGGAAATTTAAAAAAAGAAAAAAAGGCAAACACGGTCTTGTGATTCTAGTGGACCTGCTAGCTTTAGCTGTGTACTTGTATTTTTGCAGTTTTTCTGCTTTCATGTTTAGCAGTTCTTGTTTTTAAAGACACAATGAGTAACCACCCAGGACTGTCGGTACACGTAAGTAACCACTTATTTATGAAGTTTTTGTAGATTGTCCACTGTTTTCGATGTTAGAGGAACAGATGCTAGCATGGCTGCTTGTGTACATGCAGGAGCGTGAACCTCTTGTCCAGGGATATGCAGTTTACGGGTTGTTGTTCTGCCTTTACACAGTTTGGGCATTTCTCGGAGGGAGAAAGGCAGAATCACCATCATTTTTCTGACACTGTGCTTTGTGCCGAATTGCCTGGTGGCTCTGTAAATAGCTTTGCAACCGCATATAAAAAAAAATGAAATAAAATAAGAAAGAGTTTTGTGGAAGCATGATTACTCAAGAAGGACCTTCTTGAGTAATTGTAAACTTAGAGCTCAGGTGTGTGCTATGAAGGTCACAGGAATGTGAGATTACCGGCTGTGTTTTTGGAGAAAAATAATGGTGAAATGCTTAAAATTTTAGATGTATGTTGGTGAAATTGCCAAGATTTGGGAGAACCGTTTTCCAAGCGATCTATTTAAGGAAAAATGTGCCTAATAACACAGATAGAAACAGAATAACCTCGGTTTACATCCCTTACTCCCCTCCCTGCGATAATCTCGATTAAGATGTGGTTTCTATGGTTATGAGCGAGCTAAAACCGAGGGATTTAGGTGATAGGCCCTGAGCTTAGACCGTCAGGTTCCTCCAGTATCTCCGAGCTAATGAGCGGGAGCCCCCTCATCCTTTGGAAGGCCGGGCTAATTGTCAGTCAGCCAGTGTTTCCCTTTGTTTTATTTGTATGCTAGCATCAGTCAATGGTGTAAGGAGATGGAAATGGGATCTGCATCACGCTTTAAGGGAAGCAACCCAGATAGGCCGCTCTAAAGAGCTTCTCCCAGCAAGCCGGTCGCTATAGTAACGATAGACCCTGAATGGAGACCAGAGTGAAGCCTTTGATGAGGGTTTAGGCCTGTGTGTGTGTCTGTTGCTGCTTGTGTATTACAGTGTGTGTATGTGCATCTGTTTATTTGTGTGTGTATGAGTGATTGTATGTTTTTGAAACTGCTGAAAGAACCTACATCTTGTATTTTTAATTTTTTTTATTTCCCCCTCCTCTTTCCTGCCTGCTGAGGGGACTGGACTTCGAGTTTATGTATTCATTGTGTGTCCATGTGTCCTCGTATGGTTTATAATGGCAATATCACCAAGGGCTGCTGCAGGCCACCTGTTCTTATCACCAGGTGCCCTGTTGGTCTGATTTTTTTTTTTCCCCCTTCCCAAAGTCAACTCATTGAAATTCAGGCGGTCTTCTGTAGGCCATGAGATAGGGATGGGAGGAGAAGCATATGTTTAAATGAGATTAATTATAGCCTGAGGTTTGGTTTCAAGTCTTCAGAGTCAAAAGTACTGTTTAATTCTTCTTTTAAGTACTTAAAATAAGAATTTTAAAAAAGAATGACAAGTCATCCAATCTGACCTCCTCAGAATCTGATGGATTTTTTGTTCAGTTATTTTTTAGTATATTTAATGTAAATTTTTACTTTCACATTAGGAAAGGATGCGTACTAGGAAGGATATACTATACTAGGTTGAAATGTGGCTCATTTTAATCTTTCCTGCATACAGGATATTCACATGGAAACACTGAGGCTTTGTTAAACTACAGCAAAATTAATTTTCCACTTAGTTTCAGCATGATTATTTCTATATCCTGCCCTGAGAATTAGATTCATACTGGAGGAATCACAGATACAAGATGAGCCTGATATTTAAATGTAGGGCAAAAAGAAGACCTTTCACATGCTACAACTTGCTTTGACTAGACAAGTATCCTACATGGGGTGATATGAGCCTTGGAGTTTGGCTAAAATTCACTTTTTTAAGTTTCTCCATTCAGTTATCATGAAACTGATCCTGTATTCAAGGGTGTGAACTGCTTGTGTCTGTTTCTTTGCCTTGTAGACATTGAACTGGAACTATTTTGGCTGTTTGAACTATGATATGGGGATATTTTAAGCAAGAGTTCTTCAGATCTTCTATTTATGAGAAGCGGCCAATTAAGACAAAGTTCAGGGCTTTACACACTGGCCACGTGAAATCTGTGCAAATAATTTGTGTGTTCAGAATATATTTTGGAGTTGCCTATTGTTAATAAAGCCCTTCATACGGACCACAGAACGTAATTGTGTCACAACAAACAAAAGAGTTCAGATTTCTTTAAAAAGGGGGGGTGGGGTAAAAGGGGAGTTATTCCTTCCCACTGTTACCAAATGCTTGCTCATAAGGGGTTGTCTAATTGTTAGGGTTCTCTCTAGTATTGTAGAGTCTGTACCTTACAGTAATAATTGCCATATCACAGCTGTTGTTGTGATATGTTGTGGCTCCATTTTCTTAAGCACTCCATTGAAGCAGTCTTTTAATGCAGACACTAAACACCTTTCTGTTGAAATATTTCAGTTTCACAGTACTGAGGAACATTTTAGCTATGTGGATAAACAGAATGACTCCACCAAGGATCAGTGTAACAATAGAGATTATTTTGAGCTGTGACTCATGTAAAGCTACTCTAACAGAGTCCAAAAATAAAAATGTGCAGCGAAAAATGAGCGTAAAGGTGATGTTTTG